GTCTTCCTAGCTGCTGAGACGTGTGGTGGTCTCTGAGTCTGGAGGAGGAGTATTTGTGGACAGACTATGTTTCTCTTGACTTGCTCCTGGGCATGTGGATTTCTTGAAGATGTTTAGAGTACATGGTGCTGAGTACTCTTTTGTGGACATCATTTCTTCCTCATTTCCTCTCTGTCTATCTGTCTCTGGTTTTTCAAGACAAGGTTTCTCTGTGTAGCCCCAGCTGTTCTGCAACTCATTCTGTAGCCCAGGCTGGCCTCGAACTCACAGAGATCCACCTTCCTTTGCCTCTGAGTGCTGGGATTAAAGGCATGCACCGCCGCCGCCGCCGCCGCCGCCGCCGCCGCCACCACCACCACCACCACCACCAGGCTGTGTGAGCTTCTGAGGACTCTCACTAAATTGTGATATAAACTACTGCCGTCTTTTTTTCTATTGGTTATTGGGGGGCACGGGGGGGGGGGTGGCACCTGTGCACCATGGCCCCCATTTGCACGTCAGAGGACAATTTGCAGCAGTCAGTTCTCTTCTTCTACCATGTGGGGTCCCAGGGATCCCACTAAAATTGTCAGGTGTGGTGGAAGCGCCTTTACCAGCTGACTCCTGCTGCTGGCCCTAAACTGATGCTTTAGAATGCTTTTCCAAGAAGCCAAGCTGTCTTACCAATTTTAGTAACTCATTTGGACTTAACGTATTAAGAATCCTAGTGTGCCTTGTTTCTTTTGTCCTTTTTTTGGGGGGAGGGGGTTGTTGAATCTAGGGTCTCTTGCGTGCTAGCCAAACACTTTACTACAGAGCTACTCCAGACCTTTTACTTTTTATTAATATTTATGTTGTTTGAGTCTGTGCTCTTTACCGGGTTAAGAAAAGTTTCTTCTAGTTTATTTAATTCTCTTCTTAATCAAAATGACCAGGATGTTAAAATGTTTATTTACATTCATTCATTCATTCATTGTGTGTATGTATGAGAGAGAGCGTGCCTCTGTGGAGGTCTGAGGACACCTTATAGGAACTGGTTCTCTCCTTGCACTGTGTAGTCCCCAGGGAGCTGACTGGCGCTATCAGGCTTTCATGATGAGCTCTACCCAGTGAGATAAGAAGTTTTACCAATGCTTTTCTCCTTTATGTCTGTTGAGGGGTCACAGGTGGCCTCTCATTCACTCAGTGAACTACTGTGGCATCAGCTAAACCCAATGTGAAAGACAGTATCTCCAGATTGCCAAGTCTGCCATGACTTCTGACATGAGTCCCAAATTCAGGGGTCCTCCCCTGTATCCCACTCAGACTAGCCGGCTACACAGAGTCTGCAGTCCCTCGGGTCTGAAATGCCTTGAGGAAAGCAGGAAAGCGCCACGCAGAACACTTCAGTCTGAGCTACAGCAAAGTGCACAAACACTCAGTGGGCAGAAGAGGACACGGGCAGTCTGGAACTGGGGGTTCCAAGCCCAAGCGTCCGTGCCCTCGGAGGCTTTACTCTCCTGGCACCTGTGTACGGCAGGATCATGGCACTGCCAGCCCGGCAAGGCTGCGACCCAGAACTTTAACTGAACCTTCATCGTATCAGCAAGACTGATTGATTGCGCTCACACAACGCCCTCATCCTCTCTAACACATGCACCTCCTCTCTTGGCCAAGGTCTAGCCTATCTTTAATAGCCCGAAGCCTTGGCCTTCCCATCACCAGCTGGCCCTTCCGGCGTAGCTAACCTCCGTCCCCAGTCAGCCCTTTAGCGTTAACTCAGATGTGGTGCAAAGGGCCCACTGAGTCTCTCCACTAACCCAGCCATCGAGGGTGGCCAAAAAGCATCCGTGAAATAACAAAGATGCTTCTATTTCTTGGGAAATGTCAGAGCGTTAGAGCAAGGGAGACAAAGCCAGGCCACTATGAGTAAACGGATTCCTCACAGCACAATGACACAGCCAGGATGTTTTTTTTTTTCTGATGTCGATCCACCCATGCATTCCAGGAATAGCACCGCTGTTTCTCAGAGATACCATTGAGTCTGCATTGGTGTCTGAAGGGATTTTATATCTATGCTCATGAATGAAGGTGGTTTTGATTTTTCTTTCTCTAACTGACCTTGTTTGATTTTAAAATCAAGACTTTCTGGATGTGGTACCTCTCACCTATAGATCTCAGGAGACAGGGGAGTTCAAGGTCACACTCCACTACATGAGTTCAAGGTCAGCCTGAGCTAAAAGAGCTGGCCTCAAAAACCAAACCAAAATTTAAGAGCAATTACACCAAACTCAAGTGTATGGGAAAAGCCTAGCAGGGCGCTGAATGCAAGTAACTCCAGATCCAGTAGTGAAGCAGGAGTGTGAATTTGAGGCTGGCCTAGGCAAATGAGTCGGACAGTGTTCTTCTGTGTGCTGGAAGCATCACGGGTGCATTAAGGACTTGACTCTGACACTATCTGAACCTGTGTTCTGTTATGGCCAGACTTCTCCTACTGTATCAATTTCTTTAACAGTTCTAAGACATTCAAAGTCTGTATTTCCTCTTGAATTACATTGTTACATTTTTTCTAGAAATTTCCCTCTTTGCTGCCAAGTATGTCCTTAAGTTCTTTATACTAGTTTTCTAATTTTTTTTGGTTATTATTTCTGTTTTTTTAAGGTTTATTTATTTGTTATGTATGCGGGGTCTGTCTGCAATGCATGATGGTAGTGAGCTGCCATGTGGGTGCTGGGAATTGAACTCAGGACCTCTGGAAGAGCAGTCGGTGCTCTTAACCTCTGGGCCATCTCTCCAGTCTGCCTGATTTCTGTTTTTTGTTTGTTTGTTTGTTTGTTTGTTTGTTTTTTGGGTTTTTTGAGACAGGGTTTCTCTGTGTAGCTTTGCGCCCTTCCTGGAACTCACTTGGTAGCCCAGACTGGCCTCGAACTCACAGAGATCCTCCTGCCTCTGCCTCCTGAGTGCTGGGATTAAAGGCGTGCACCACCACCGCCCGGCCCTGTTTTTTAAGGTGGTATTTTTTGTTTTTGTTTGGTTTCGATGTTGGGTATTAGTCTCCAGCCTCATACATACATGCTAAAAATATATCTGTCACTGATCTAATGCCCAGTCCGCCATCTTTGTGATCTCTGCTGAGCTGTCAAGGCGTCCTGCTGGATTTGTAGTGAAATACTTTGCTTTTCCTTGGTCAGATGAAATGAGTAGTCAGTTTTATTCATTTTAAGAATGCAGCATTGGCTTTGTTGGGCCCTCTTGTTTGTGGTATACTGCAGGTGACCCCGAGGACCCGCCGACACCTTCACGCTTCTTATACGGTTTCTCTCCCACTGTTCGTGTGGGAAGCCTGGTGTTGATGTGGTTCCTGTATGACATGGGAAATCTTCTCCTACTGGGGCACCTTTAGTTCTTGGAAGATGTTGCCCTGGGAAGGATTAAGGTAGTTCTCTTGGGACCCCAAGTTTGTCCTCAAGAGAGCAAGTTGTTATAAGAGGAAACTGAAAGATGGAGTTCCACCTCCACCCAGTTACTCTCTGAGTTTCAGATGCGACGTCTCCTTTCGGGTATGCTGTTCTCCACGCGTTCCTCATCGGAGCTGGACACATCTGTGAACTAAAGCAGCCTCTGCTTCCTAAGCTACCCAGTCTCGGGTATTTCAGCACAGAAATCTCTAGTGAACTTGTAATTTCTTCTCATCCACGTCCCCCTCATCCTTGAGTTTGTGTGTTCTCCTAACTTCTGAAGTTGAGGTTCTCTTATTAATACCATTCTTCACGTGGACATGTATTTAAGACTACACATTGGACTCTGAATACAACCTCCCCATAATATGCCACACATACTCTATATATTATTCTAAATATTTATCAGTTCTCATT